TTAAAGCAGCCAACAACACCCTTCGAAGAGAACTGCGCCAAGTAAAGGATAACTGGTGGTCACAAAAAGCGAATCAGATTCAAGAGTACGCCACTCATCACGATTATCGTAAATTCTTCGAGGCTGTAAAAGAAGTATACGGTCCAACTAAGAAGGTAAGCTGCCCAATCATGGCTCAAAATGGCGAACTTCTAAAAGAGGAAGAACAAATCAGAAATCACTGGAAAGAACATTACAGCCATATCCTTAACCAAGAAAACAACCCCAATATGGAAGCACTAAACACAATACCTCAGTATAACAGCCTCGATGTATTAGACATCCCAATAACAGAACAAGAAATAAAGACCTCCATAAAACAGCAACAAATCAGCTGGCTGTGACGCGATTCCGGCGGAAATCTATAAGTGTGCAAGTAAAGAAATTATGGATCATCTTAAGGCTCTCTTTGATGTCGTATGGGAAAGCGGAGAGGTACCTCACGATTTTCGCAACGCGAATATAGTGAATATATTTAAGAACAAAGGAAGTGCATCAGACTGCGGTAATTACCGGGGAATTTTGCTATTAGCTATCGGCGGAAAAATTCTTGCAAAAATAATGTCAAACCGCCTGCACCCATATATAGAAAAAAAATCCTCCCAGGATCGCAAACGGGTTTTCGTACCAACCGCGGCACCGTCGATTCCATATTTTCCATCCGTCAACTACAGGAAAAAGTAAAAGAGCAGCAGTCTAAACTTTATGTTGCATTCATCGATCTAACAAAAGCCTTCGACTCTGTGAACAGAGATGCGCTTTGGGCAATTATGGAAAAGTTCGGAGTACCCAACAAATTTCTTACAGTGTGTAAAAGCCTCCATAACAACAAGTCAAGAGTGTCACATCGTAGATCACTGAGCGACCCATTCCTAACAAATACAGGAGTTAGGCAGGGATGTGTCTTAGCGCCTCTCCTATTCAACATATTCATGGCAGCGCTCTCCATTATAGTGGACAGCAAACTGCAGGAGAGAGGATTGGGCATTAGATACAGATATGACGGCGGTCTGTTCAACATAAAAAGACTCAGGGCAAAAACACGTACAAAATTTATCACAGAACTTCAATACGCTGACGACTGCGCTCTAGTTGCAAACACGGTACAACAATTACAAGAAATGTTGAACACATATACCTGGGCATACGAGGCTTTGGGCCTTAAGCTGAACATCGGCAAAACTAAAATCATGTGCACTCCCCCGGAAGATCACAACAATGCTATAAAAATCGGAGAAGAACTATTCGAATATGTGGCGGAATTCAATTACCTTGGCAGTTTGATTTCGGAAAAGGCCAATATTGACTCTGAAATTCAGCACAGGATTAGTAGCGCCTCAAGAGCATTCTGGAAATTAAAAGACAGGGTTTTCTACAATCATGACTTGAGTACAAAAACAAAACTTGCAGTATACCGAGCAATTATAATCCCCACCATGATATATGGGAGCGAAACCTGGGTGCCTTACCGCCGACACATGAACGCATTGAACAAGTTGCAACAGAGACACCTTAGACAACTCTTAAGAGTCCGGTGGTTCCATCATGTCTCAAACGTATCGGTCCTTGAAAAATCTAACTGCGAGAGTATTGAAGTCATGGTCACAAAATCCCGCTTAAGATGGGCTGGTCACGTATGCAGAATGCAAGAAAACCGCATACCAAAATCTCTGCTTTACGGTGAGCTTGTGGACGGTAAGAGGAGGCCGGGTGGACAACTGAAAAGATACAAGGACATTTTCCACGAAAATTTAAAGGGAATTAACATGCAGAATGAGTGGGAAAAAGCAGCTCACAATAGAACTCAATGGAGAAGGGTTGTAAACTCAGTTAACAGCGGCAACCAAAAAGTAGAGAGGCAACAAAGCAATGAGATTTTTGAATGTCCGGAGTGCGGTAGGCAGATAACATCACGTATCGGGCTTTTCAGTCACAGAAAAGCTCATGAAAGAAAACGCCTTGCGTGACCATTTTCTTTATGTGTGTCGAATACTCGTCAGCGAGTAACGGCTGTATGTATGTATGTATGTATTTTTATTGTTATTAGATATAGTTTAAATGTGTTGATGTTGGTTAAATATATTTTAAATTGTTATAAAATTCTGCATCTCTCATAGCAAATATTATTTTCGTTTTAATGGATGCTCACAGCTAGAATTTTTTTGCATTACAGCCGGTGTCGTTCAAAGCCTACTTATTTAAAGCGGGCGAATTTTTATATACTCTAGCAAATAGCAAGTGTGTTATATTTTTGGAAAGGTAATTTGAAATTATTTTCAATAAATTAAAAATATATAGTTTGTCCCATACAAAAAATCAAATTTTCTGTTGATAATTCTTAAATTATTAATTTTAAAAAAATTATACTTAAATCATTAAATTCTACGTAAAAAGGTGCTTTGGAAATGTTGTCATAAAAATACAAAATTTTCCATAGCAAAAAAGTTACAGCGATTTGTTAGAAATGCATATTTTTGAAAAACAGATATCGATATGCGGTTTTCACCATCATGTTTTTGACAAAAATTGAGCCCCAGACACCGATATTAGTTTTTGTCTATCTCCTATAGAAAAGGGTGTTTCCATTTAAAAGCGTCGAATTTGACCCACCCTGTACATTAATTTGCTAACGTCAATTTTTTCATTTAATGCTTAACTGCTTAACTATTTTAAATTTTATAATGGAATAAAAATATTATGATCGTGTTTCTTTTAATAATAGAAAGCAGTTTGGCAACGTCAGTTTTAGAAATATGCCGGCGTAGTACAACGGATTTCGAGGATGGATGAAAATTCCTAGATTCTCCTGTTGCGATGTTGCTATGCCGCCGATCAAGCTCCGTATTCTTTATTTGCAGTATTATAGTATTTTTGCGTTATTTTGTGGACTTCTGTGGACATTAATTTGAAAATATGGTGCATTCATGTATTGTGTACAAGAGAGTGTATCATTTAAATCCAAGTTTAACTTTTCGCCGGTAAATAAAAATAAGCAGGGTTAGGTATATTATTATATCCTCTTCTCTGTAGATCAGAGGCGGACCTAGACATAAAAAATAGCAGATTTCTAAATTATATTTATTTTTAGGTTTATTTTTTAAATCGTATATTTATTAATTTATTATGTTTTTTAAATTATATATTAATTAATTAAATTATTTGTAGAAAAAAGGTACATGGTACGTACTAATTACTAATAACTTAATAATAATTTCTGTTTCCCTTTTAAGAAAGGGTATTGAATAAGTAGAATCTAGTTACCCACTTGGGTTTGACAAATCATTACCTACCTTTTGTGAAAATTTTATTGGGGTGTTCGTAAAAATACAAAATTTTCTTTCAAAAATGGAATTTTGCGACCTTACTTTTTTGTTGCCGTTACAATTTAATACGGCTTTTGTTTTAAATTTTGGTTGCTATAATGTAAATGGACATCTTTTGACATACATATAATTAATGTACTTATTGCATGAATTTTATGACTACTACATTTTCTTGTATTTTTACATTTTATTGTATTGAAATTCTTTGCACATGCACTTTTTATTATTTATAAACAATATGAATTTTCCTTTGCAAACCAGAGAAAAAAAACTAAATATTTTTTAAGACTAAGGGAAGAACTGTTTACTAAACAATCGCCATTTTATTTTATTTATGATTTTCTAAAATTATCGCTAGACTTTTCTGATGACTGTATTATAATATCAAATAATTTTGTTTAGATGTGTAATTTCATTTAATGACATTCATTTATCGAATTTTAACTACAGAGCAGACTCCCTATTTGTTCTCATTCTTTCACTACGTTGACCATGATCATTCGACTAGGCAAGTGCATTATTTTAAAATTCCTCAACACCGAACAGCTAACTTCCAAAAATCTTTCAGTTTCATAGCGCCACGTGTGTGAAATAATATTTCTAATAACTTTAAATTTCAATCCTTTACAGATTATAAAAAAACAAATTAAAAATAATTTACTAAATTCATAACAATAAATCATTTAAAAAATTATAATTTCTTCGACTGATTTGTGAGGTTCTTGTTCTTCTGATATGCCCGTCATTGGTTGCTGTTCCGGTTACACTGCTTCGTTATGCCTCTCTGTTCATCCCTGATAAAATTATATTTTCACTTTTTTTTATCTAATTTTATTTTTTTATTCTGTTTATTTTTATAATTTAATTTATTTCTATTTTGTTTTTGGGGTCGCACCACTCTGGTACTTTGTGTCATTGTATCGGTTTTTTAATCGCGGTGCGATCCCTTTAGACACACATTTTAGTAGTTGTAAAATTCATATAGGTATATAATAAATATACATATAATAATAAAGTTTTTATCAAAAATCTGTGAAGTCTACAAATATTAGTTTTTGATAAAATATTGTGTTACTAGGTTAAAATAACTATTTTATTTTGTTATTGCTAATAGAGGGAGTCTCATTCACCGGAGATGAACAAGGTTTGGAACAAGATATTGAAACTGCATTTACTAATACACTCAAAATTTGATATTTTATTTAATAAAATAAAGTAAAAAACGCTTATTGATTTTTTTAATCGTTATTCTTATGTGAAAAGCCATCTCATAATAAAAAATTATGCCGGTTTTTATTTATTTCGCTATCCTCCCTCAACTTATTTTTTTCCTAATAATATCCTGCCTCAACTTTTTACAATGCGACAAATATGTAAGTGTTATTATTATTTTTTTAAATTTATTAAACATTTATTTTAATTTTCTTAAAATACTGTCGGTCGATCGGCACGCCACTGGAAATTGACCTCAACCGTCTAATCTTTGTAAACAACTACATTGTTGCCGTTGCGCCTATACCCTATTCCCTTCTTTGTCCATTCTCTATCGCACTCGCTGATGTTCGCAAACCAATGTGTGATGAAGGTTTAGAGCGTTTTATGAATGGAGCTTAAATATCTTTGGAAATAATACAAATATTCTGAGAAATGAATGCTTTATTTTTGCATTATAAATGTATAATTCATTAGACTACATTCATAGCATTGATTAATTACGTATGTTCTTGTTCTTCAGATGGATCATACATTTTTTCAATCATTTCCCTGCTCTTCGACCTTGACATGAGATTTTCTAGATTGAGAACCGCTTTCTATATTTTGTCGCACCTTTTCAGAAGAAGAACTTTTTATCGCCACTTCAACATGTTTTTGACCATCTACAGGTGTATCAGTACCACCTAGTTGAGCCTTGCTTGTGGTCGTTACTTCTTCAGCTGTAGCAATTTTTTGTATACTTTGCTTTGAAATATCTTTTATCGTTTCGCGTTTTTCACCTGGCATTGAAATTTGTGACTCCAATGCTGCAAATGGATCATACTCGTTACTTTCTTTCTCTTCTTCTTCGTCCGGCAATTCCTCTTCGTTGAAAAATAATATACTTTCTTTTTCTTCCTCTTCTACGCGTTCCTCGCCAATACTTTCAATCAATTCCTTTGATATGGTATCTAACTCACTATCTCCTTTATCAACGTAACTCTTTTTCGTTAAATATTGATCGGGATGTCCATGTATTAAATAGTCCTCAAAGCTAGACCCAGTTTGTGACATCATATGTCGTTTTGTAGTAGCAATTGCTCGTAATTCTTGTGACGGTTTTGGTACAAAACCAAGATCACCAACGGCATAAGTTGCTTCTACAGAAGGTATAGTTTCCAACGATGGTATCTTAACGTTTCTTTCGTGACCTCGACTAAGTAACAAAAAGAGTGTATTTAGAAGATTTTCTCTTTTAGAGGATTTTACAGAAATATCACTTTCTGATTTAATTGTCAAAGCTTCTCTAATACAACTAACTCCTTCCATAAGGATATCATCCAGTCTTTCATTTTCTTGTTTTAAGTACGCCAACTCAGTTTGTAATGTAATATTTTCACATTTCTTTTGATGCAAATTTTGTTCTAAAACTTTGATTTTAAAATTTAATTTCATTTCCAGGTCTATGTTCTTTTGAAGTTCGTTTTTAGCGTCCCGAACTTCATTTTCGTAACCTTTATATTTAGCCAAATCTTTTCGAAAAGCACGAGATTGCAATGTTAATCTATCGATTATAATTTTCTGTGTTTTTACTCTAGAAAGGGCTTTTTTCTTTTCGTCTTCGTGAAGCTCGGCTTCTTGTTTTAAACTTAAGTCCCTACTCTTTACTAATTGAAGTTCCTTATACAGTCTTTGATGAGTTTGTAACATTGTGTCTAGTTCATTGTTAACAGCTATATTCTCACGAATAACTCTATGCGTTGTTGCAGCTATTCGTAATTCAGAAGCATCGTGAAATTCGGAAGATAATTGTAATAATCGAGCTTCCATATCCTTTTTCAATTTGTCTTTGCTTATAATAAATTTTCGTTCAATTTCATAAAGTTCTCTAGCATGCCGTTTTTCTTGCGCTTCCATTGTTTTTTCCTGTGCTTCAAACTTTTTCATTAGTTCGTCACGTTGTGATCGAAATTCTTCTAAGGAGTTGAGTTTACCTAAAAATATATTTAATTTGAATGATATTATAAGGCATAAATATAGGGTGATTCACGACGATGGCACGTTAAGCGTTTATGGAGAACCGCCGACAGACTTTTTTTGAAAATTTGGACTTTTAAATAAAGGCACCTGCTCCGTCTTTGTAAAACATTTTCAGCATTACAGTATTGCCGCATTATTTGAAAAGTGGTAGCATCTTTCTTATTTTAAATGGAACACCCATTATATTATTACATTTTTGGAAACTACTTTTATATCTGATAATTTCTTTATTATACTAATCTATACCTGTCTCTAATTTTGGAGTTAAAAAAATAAAATATTTGTAAAATTGATTAAAATCTGATTGCGAATAAGCATTCTTAAAATCAAAAATTAAACATTTCTAAATTCGAAAATTGTGTTATAAGTTAACGAAAGTCGATATGGTCGATCCGTCTAAATAAACCGTTTGGCTATTACAGAGGGAGAGCAAAAATATAATATTATTATTTATATTTCCGTTTGTTAAAAAAATGCTCAAATCTTTGTTATTTTAAATTCAACCGTATGTATATTATTTAAAAAAATCAAAATACTAATAAAATTACGTTTCAATTTTGATATATGGACTCACAGATTTTTTTCTCTAATTAGTCCAGTTGTGTAGACCGTGTAATGCCGATTAAAAATTTATTGTTTCTTTATATTTTCGAAAAATCGAAGAAAATAATGTTAACCCTCTATTGCTCAAAAACGAAGCAGAATCGGACCTATGTTTTAAATTTTACGTGAGAAGTCTCTCCAAGAGAGATGGCACATATTTTTTGAAACACACTGTATTTTTATATTTCTGTTTCAGCTGCAGTGGCGAAATAAATAGACTTTTTTCCAGATAGCTTTATTTTAATTTGTGTTATTTAGCATACTTACATTTAACATTTTAAAAATATTACAACTATATTATACAGGGTTTTTCAAAAAAAATATGCCATATCCCGTTGGGTGATTCCTCACGTAAAAATAATATTTATTTTTCATATCAACATAGGTTCGATTTTGCTTTGTAACTACAGGATGTTAAGTGCTTTTAGCGGTTCGAATGAGATTTTGAGGGTAAAAGTTAGTATAAATGCTACATATTTTAATGCTACTAAAAAGTGTCCACAGATTCATCAAGGACGTGCATATGAGTTATTACTGCAATATTTTTCAAAAAGAAATATGTGCCCCACTGCCTTTTTTTCTTTTGATAACAAAATTGTATAGCCGTTTAATGCCAATTAAAAGTCGTATCTTGATATTTTATCGATTCCGATCTCCTTAATGAGATAAATGCAATTATATTAATCACAATTAATAAAACTAAAATCAAAATAAAATTAATAAATTATTTTATTTCTAAATATTATTACTATTAGTTATTATTACTATGAGTCCAATCCAGTGGCGTAGCGTGGGTTAGGGGCGCCCGGGGCGGAGAGCCTCTAGGAGAGAGATTTGCCGCCCTTACAAAATCAGTCCACCGCACCGCTTTTATAACAATTTTTTATCGCCTCGCAGGTACTTTGCCGGCTAAAGTCCCTAGATATATAAAGTACCGCAATTGGTTTGTTCAATGTTATTGGCGCCAAAATGGCGGATTTTTGGGGTATTTCTGGGAAAACTGTAGTGGTAGGACTGTTTAAATGTCACATTTGTCTGAATTTGTCATGTCAAATGTTGAGAAGCTGTCAATTTCAGAATAAAAATATTTATCCACATATTTTAAAATAATTATAAAACCACTAAAATGCTACAAATTTATTAGTTAATAATGTATAGGCGTCGATATCTTTAGTGAAGAAATATGTATTACAAGAAAAGGCCGCCATTTGATGTGTTTTCTAACATCGTCGATATTCAATACAGGTTAGGTAGTGGATTGAATTTATTTATGCTCCAGTGAATATTTTTAACAATCTTATTTGTAGTATAACCTATTGGTACATAAAACTTCATTGTAGAACAAGACAAGATCACAATAGATCTGGGAAGGTCGCAGTGGGTCAGGCCCAGATCCACCTCTAGAAATCTAATATAGAACAAGACAAAGACCTTACTTGCAAACTACCATACATATCTTTTAAAAAGGATGCTAAGTGTAGTGTAAGTGAAATCTTTACGTAATCATTCCCTAAAATGTTTAGTGTAGTTTAGTTTTCAACATTTTGCAGTAAGAAGTTTAGATAAATCTACAATATATTATCATCAGACCAAAGGCAGGATAATTACTTAATAGAATAAGTTATGTTATGATACATATACAGATTTGTATGACATCGCTTCAGGTGGTTTTACCAGTCAGGACTAACAGGGATATTAACCAAAACAATGAAAAAAAGCTCAAATAAATTTGATCCTAATAACAAGAATGTTGTTTATGCATATGCTAACTATATAGTTATTTTCATGGACTTAAATAGATTAGTTTTTATGTATTTATTGATAGTAATTAATATTTTTTGGTTCATATTGTAATTCTAATAAAAAGTAAAGAATATAATGTAAGCATGTAAAGTTATATTTAAAAATTTGGTCTTATACTGTCAGTTATAAATAAAAGTGTGTGATTTAAATTTGATTTTTATACATGGCATAAAATTGTTAAGATTCGTTTGAAGTTTTACATATTGTCGAGGTAAAATTATGCCTACTTAATTTATGTATAACAATAATTACAGTTATTTCAATGTTAAATTTATAGCAGTATAACTTTTTTATAATAATGATACTTAAACATTATGACTATGACACTTGTTGTTTTAAAAATATAACATTAAATTGCAGAGCAAAATATATTTTAATTGAATTATGTGGTATTAACTTGCTTTTATTCAACTAATAATAAATTTGTTGTATAAACATGACTCCATAACATACAAACCTTAATTATACAGCACACATAAAGAGCCCCTATGTGTTTCAAGCTTCTTTCTAAGTTATTTATAAAATAAGTGCACAATTACATACCTAAAATGCTGAAACTACCTGAAGTCATACTAACTGAAACAATCTTTCTATCAATATATTAATATATTTCAAAAATAGCAGGTATGTATCATATCAATTTAATTATTACATTTATTTGTTTCAACCATGGTTCAAAATTTTCTCGTATAAAAGCCGGCCTTCAAATTTAAGTTTGTAGCTTATTCATAGTTCCAAAGACTTTCGTTAAATCATGCTTATTTGTCAAAACTAACTACAGCATAACTGGTATAATAGGGAAAGTTTACTTATGGTATAGGTATCCCGTTCTCATCAACAAACAAAGTTTTTCCAATTGTTTCGACTGAATTAAGTACTAAAATTCTAAATGTTATTCCAACTTTATTTCTTCTTACCTATTAACTTACTTCTGTTGGCGTACTTTGCGCTAAAAGGTAACATAAAATAAATGCTAATACAAATGAAAAACACTTGTACGGAAACCATTCGTTTATAACCTCTTAACATATATAGGCCTAAAAAATTAAATTTATGAAATTGAATATTAATATACCACCTGATATTACGTTAAAATGAAGGTAAACTGTAGATAATAAACGTAATTCTATTACAATTAATAAATATTTTATTTTACGGCTTGCCTGTCAATGTTGGTCGGCCATATTGGCGCCGGACCGACCAGCTGCTTAAAAAGCCGAAACAGCGAAATGTTGGCCTCCTTTTTAAATTTGCCGCTAGTTTTGGCGCCAATATGGCGGTAATTGCGGTACTTTAATATCTAGGGACTTTATCGCCGGCCGGGGCGGCCCGCCACCTATGCCTCTGGTCCAATCTACAGAAAATTCAAATAAAAATTGGTATTTAAAAATCTTGACATTCTTTAATTTTAAAACTATGCATTTCTATACCCATGTACAGGGTGGCTCGAATTCGACGCTCATCATTGAGATTTCGGAAATCGTAAGAGATACAGGATTGGTTAAATGGAGGCAAAGTTGCGCAATTTGATGCTCAATAAAATGCAGTATTGCATTTTGAAAAATTTCCGAATACTTCCGAATATATTCACTTATAATATCACAAGAGCTTAAATTATTTTCGGAAATTTTTTTGAGGGCACGAATATTTTGAAAATTATCCCGAGTCGAAGACGAGGGATAATTTTCCTAAAATATTCGTGCCCGAAAGAAAATTCCCAGGAATAATTTAAGCTTGCGTGGTATTCGGTAAGAAAATTTCACACCTAAATTTGAAAAAAAAAATATTAATCCAACATGACATTTTAAAATAATTTCAATTTGTTAAGTTGACATATTATGTGTTTTGTCATTTTTGTTTGCGATTCTGTCATTAAGCTATTACTAGTTTTAAAACGTCTGTACGTAGAGTAAGAAGTGTATAGCGAAATGTCGCGATTTGGAAAAGTAAACCAACAAGTCATTAAAGAAGAAATTGAAAATATAAAACCAGATAACACCCGAAAATCAAAATCAAGTGTATATCCATTATATTTCGTTAAATAGAAAAATACCAGCTTTAGTTAAATAAAGGCGGCAGAACTAAATTTTTTAGAACATGGCAATTTCGAAGAAATTCATATGTAGGTATATCTAACATATTTCCTTAAATAAAAAATATTACCAACCTTAGTTACATCAAATGCTAAAAATCAAATGGGTAATATTTCAATATATAGACATTGTAGTTCATTCACATTATGATTGTAGATCTTATGTTTACCTTTTCAACTGACAAAAAATTTCCACTAAAGTTTCGTGGCGCCTCGAAAAAATTTCAGGAAATTTTTTCAGTTGCCATGGTAACTAGTCAACATTAAAGCATGTTATTGGTTGAAAAGTAGAGGTGTGAAATTTTCGAAAAAAAACCGGAATTTTCAATTTTGTTTTCTATTGTTTCCTGGCTTTATTTGTTAAGATGACTTAAAATGAAAAACACATTTTCAAGGCCACTTTTTCTGCTCTATAACTCTGTGTGATTAGATATTGACTCTGACGTTTCGGCTTCT